TTTGTGAACCACACGTGTCACGAGAGTTTCTCTGTCGAACGGGGCAAATCTCACAATGCTATTATATGTATCTCCTGCCTGCAAATATACCATCATTTCTCAAATATATTAAAACAAACCATAAACAATGACCAAGTAACCAGAAAGCAGTCGTGTGTCTCCCTTTTATTAGTGTCCAACTGTCATTGTTGAAAATGAGATGGGTGAGAGGCCCTTTGTAATGCATTTGAGCATTCTGAGCATCGACTCTGTTTACATACTGGAGTAAAACAATAAATAAGCTTGCGGAACCTCTTGGAGTACACAGCAAAACTTTTTTTTTTCTAAAGAAATCCAGTGTATTTCTTCAGCTGCAGCAGGAAAGATGGGAAGTGGGATGAGAAGACAGGGTAGAGGGGTTGGCTGTGCTTGTGGAGGGGCACTCTCACCTCCCTTGAAGGTTCCCCAGACCACTCCTCAAATGAGGAGACCAGTGATTCAAGGGCACAGCTTTTGGATAAGCTACTCGTATTGCAGACACTCGTAAAGCTGTAATTAGTACAGGGAACCTGCAACTGTCCACTGAAAGCCTCAGGTTACATATACAGCAATTCCAAGGTTCCAGTCTTACGTTTTCCCCAAACAGACGGAGAGCTGGGAAGGGGGGTGACCTCTGTGCATTGTGATTGCAACGGACCTATCTGGCTTCAGCCCTTGTGTCTTGGTCCAGGGCTGTCTGGGGTGCGTGGCATTGACCCGCCTTGCACATTAACAGAGGCAAGCTCCAATCCCATGGCTGCAACCGCCATCTTGAGTTCTTTGAGCTCCTCCCGCCAATGCCCCCCCCCCGCTGGTCCTTCTTTCTGGTTGGCTTCTCTTCCAGCCGGTGGGTCACCATAACAATCACTATTTATCACTTTCTTTTCATGCTAGCATGGTTTAGACGGCAAACAAGCAAGGAAGAATTACCTGGACCTCTGCTGATCCCTTTCCAGAGACTTTTACGCGCAACCAAAATGCTTCACGAAAATAATGACTCCCCAACAGCAATGCAAAACATAGAACCAAAAGTTGCAGAAGATCAAGACACTTACCTCGCTGTCTTCCATTGGGGGTGGCGGTGGCTCTTTAATAATCTGAAAGGGATGGAAACGAACACAAAATATTACCTTACGTTAACTTCCATCACCAGGACTCATCTACAGAAGATGCCATTACTGTATAGACTATTTCTAAACATTTTCTATCTCCATTTAAAACCACAGCTCTCACCTACAGACCTGGTTGGCCACTTTGTGAGGAATTGGTTAGAAATGTGATCTGTGAACCCAGAACTGCATTATTTAACCTCCCCAGCCCTGATAGAAAGAATGTCATAGCAACTAGAAAAGTTGCATCTTCTCAGACTCATCCTTCTTCCCTAGCTTATCATTTACATGAAGAGGAGGTCGAGCCCCCGTATCAGCTAGGTTAGACATTAAAGGATTAATTAGATAGAATATCACACAACAGCTTGCATGGTTGATTAGGACCAAGGAGACCTTGACTCAAAGCACCACTGAGCTTCAAAGACCCCAGTGTGTCCATGTACCAGTTGAAGGCCATTCCCCTCTGTCTAATCTTCTTCACAAGGTAAAGTCAAGTCACACCCCAGTCAAGCTTGATTCCTGGTGACCACATGGGCACATCCATCTTGTTTTTCTAGCAATAATATGGATGTGGTTTGTCACTGCATTCTTCTGGGTTGTTCTGACTTCATGTCTCCAGTTCTGGCATGTCATGATCTCTCCCATCTAAGTGCTAAACAGGTCCAACTTAACTTACTTTTTGAGCTCAGCCCATTCAAGGTTGGCTAAACACTCCACCTTATAGCTCTGAGATGGTAGGAAGGCCATCAAAGTCTCTGATGTCTGCATTACATCTGAGCTATACAGCTATAGCTAAAACAGACCGGCCTGTGCCACCACTCACAAGTATATATTTCAAGAGATAGAAAGCACAGCGTCTCTTCACAATGACTTTTTTAAAAACTATAGTCGGCTTTGGGGAAACCAAAAGCCATTCAGGTGAGGAGTTTTGAATGGGACTGTTGTCCAGAAACAGCTTAGAGGGACTGGGGCTGTGGGGCTGTTATTTCTTGCAAACATTTGCATCATGGACTTCCACAGCAATGGAGAACCACCCAGCCGGGACGTTCCAATCAAGGCAGGACAACTTCCTTCCTAAATCCCAGGCTGGGGCACAGACGATTAAGGCCTTCCCTACCCTATGAAGAAACTGAATTAGGTGAAAGGTGGCATTTCTGTTTCCAGAGGTATATAGCTGTGAACATCATACAGTGGTGAAAGCGGTTTCATTCATTCCTAGCTTGCAGATCCCAGCTGGCTAATTTTTGGAAGCAGACTGCTGGGTTAGAGCTTGACCTGATCCAGTGGGGCTTTGAGCCCCTCAGCTCAACTGTCCTGACTTCCCAGGACAGCTTTTCTGATCAGATTAATAAATATTGGGGTTTTACCTCCAGTGAAAGCACAAACACACACATCACATCCATGCACACCAGCCTTCTTCAACATACTAGCTGAGAATTAGGAAAATCTCATGTGCATCAATGGTGTCACAATAGGAAAGATGCACAGACACCCCCACAAGGGCACCTGCAGTGACCGTCATTGGCTTCAATTTGACTAGGCAATAAACCCCACCCCCTTTTAATAGGTGTGCAATCATGATGCACATTAAAAAGGGGTGGGGCATTGATCACCCGGTTGCACCCACTATTGCGAAGCCAGTAATGGTCTCTGCAGAGACCCCCACACACAAACAGAGCTTTGTTTAACAAGAAACACATCCTCCTCTCATTCATCCTTGCTCAGCTGGACCAGAGAATACAGTCAGCCATTTCCCTTTCTTTTTTCTGCTCCTTCCTTTCCTGCCCAAAGGAACGTGAGTGGTGGCCCAGCAGAGCTGACCGTTACCAGTTAGAAATTTCAAGGAAGGCCAGATTGGGAAAAAGTTGTCTTGAGCTGTCTGGGCCACTTAGCTGAAGTCCATTGGAAACTCAGCCTGGCTGGAACACAATTCTTTTCCACCTAGGAAAACTTCGCAGTAAATTGTGGGCTAGTGTGTTAATCCATCATGAGCATTTCACGCCAATGATTTCTCATGCATTTCATTGTATTTGTGTGTTTTTTAATTCTTCTTCTTTTTTTTAATTTAGGGAGGAAGCCTCCTAATAGGATTGAGAAATAATGCCAGACTTTATCTCCCTGGCTGGAAAGTGATTGTCAAAGGGTTGTTAACTTCATTATTATTTCCTCCAGACTGATGGGAGAATGTGCAAGCTGCGTCTTGAAATGTTCCTCGGAGGTTTCAGCTGAGGGCCTGGCTTTGTCCTCCAGCTTTATTCAATATTAATCAAGCAGACCCAGCTCACGTCTTCCTACTTTTGCTCTCTTAAAGACTGGAATGCAAACCAAAGATTTTCAGGATTCTTCTTTCCACATGATTTCCTATGAGATGTTTTCTATCTGGAATATGGCCTTGGTTAATTTCAGTTTCTTTCCATTATGCTTTTTAGAACTGGGGGACGTGGCTCAGACTTGCTTTTAAACTTTTGGGAAAAGATTGCTGAATTCAACTGCTAAAAAGTTCCAGGCATAGGGGCCCGGTAGAAACTGAACTTCTGTGAATGTTAGTTAAGCCTGCATTGTAGCACCAGGGTGCAAAGCTGCCTTTCTGGCCTGCGTGCTGCCATTGGACCCAGCAAGGCATTTGATTTGCCTTGCAATTGTGATGCACAATTTGTTGTTTGCCTCTCTTGATCCCCACCCAGATGTCTATGATTCCAACTCTGTTGTTTCTTTCTAAACAGGGGTCTGTATGTTTTTCCTGGAACCGCATCATTATTATAATTATTATATTATATTATAATATTATACTATTACATGAATAGAATAGTTGTTCTTGATATTTCTCCAAGAGGGAGAATGGCCACTGATGAACTGGTATCACTCAAGTGCCTGGGTTTTAAAAAATTAATTATTTTTAGACAGTTGGGAGTTGTTTTACAGAAAACAGAAGCACTGAACTTCCAGAGAAGTTAGAGAGAGAGAGAAAAAAAAGGAGAGAAAGGAAAAGAAGGAAGGAAGGAAGGAAGGAAGGAAGGAAGGAAGGAAGGAAGGAAGGAAG